TCCTCAAAAAATTAAACATAGATGCAACAAAACACACAAGTAAAAAAATTAAACACAGAATTACCATATAGTTCAGCAATTCCACCTCAGGGAATGTACCCCAAAAAATTGAAAGTGGGGACTCAAAAAACTATTTGTACATCCATGTTCATAGTAGCATTATTCACAGTAGCCAAAAGTTGGAAACAACCCAAATGTCCACCAATGGATGAATGGATAAGCAAAATGTGGTATATACATATAAGGAATGAAATTCTGATACATGTTACCACATAGATGAACCTTAAAAACATTATGCTAAGTGAAATACGCCAGACATAAAAAGACACATATTGTATTATTTCACTTACATGAGATACCTGCAATAGTCAAATTCAGAGATAAAAAGTAGAATAGGATTACTAGAGGCTGAGGGGGAGGGAGAGCAGGAAATTATTGTTTAATGGGTATAGAGTTTCAGTTTGGGAAGATGTAAATATTCTGAAGATGGATAGCAGTAATGACTGCACAACTGTGTGAATGTATGTAATGTCACCAAATTGTACACTTAAATTGGTGAAAATGCTATGTATGTTTTACCACAATTTTAAAAAAATTCCTCTCCTAGATAAGCACTAATTGTTGTTGGCCATAGGAACAAGTAACCACCAGAACTGAGTTTTAAACCTATCCTAATCCATTCTGCTACAGATATGGCAGAAAAAGCTCCTAACAGACTCCTCCTACCCTCACCCTTCCCCACAGATAACAACTATAAATTTGGGGAAAAATCAAAAAACAACTACCTAAAGACTTTGGAGAGCAACCAAAAGTAGGCAGAACCTGAAAAGATGTCAAAAACTTGGAAGAAGGGATGAGCACAGTATAATTTTCCTATTTATACTGGCTACAGTTGCAATGTCAAGCATAATGACCAGCACTTCAATAGAAAATCTGTAATCCCTCTGGCTAGTAGAACCAGAAGATAGAGCCCAGAACAACCACCCCCTCTGGAAAGTTAAGAATGAGGTGGGGTAGGGAAGTGTTCTCCAGGAAGAAAAGAACCAGAGAGGAGAGGACTGAGTTCTATCTATAAACTCTTTCTGAGTCTCTGGCTGCCCCTGAACCATGTATGTCTGGGGCAGACTCAAAGCAGCATAAGTCTAAAAGAACTGAGTTGATATTTGAATTACAGGTAAAACAAAACTTGCAGTCTGAGTCCAATTTAATTTCTTTACAAAATCAATGAGGTGACATTACTGAGAATGGTGGAATAGAGAGCTCCAAGGATTTGTCCCTCCACTGAAGCAAAAGCTGTCAAACGAATTTTTTTTTAGGATCTTGGAATCTAATGTTTTTTTAAAAACTTATAACAACCAGAGAGCAGATAAGAAAGAAAGAAGTGTTCAATTTTAGCATTTAAAAAAATCTCTGTCAAGTCACTGGCTGACCACTGAGCTAACAAATGGAAAATTCAGTGACCACATACAACAGAGAATGCAATCTTTTCAAAAAATAGTTTGAGAAAGTCACTGAACAAATGGATGATGGCAGCCCACAACAAACAAAAACAAATCTGGAAAAGATAGCCATCTCTCAAATGCACAGGTATCAATCAATGTAAAGGCACAGAGATCGAGAAAGAACGGAGAAATATGACACCACCAAAAGAAACCAACAAAATGTCAGCAACGGACTCTGAAGAATAACAGATTTATGAAATGTATGACAGAGAATTAAGAATAATCCTCTTAAAGAAGTTCAGGGAGTCACACAAGAAAATACAGATAGAAATTAAATGATATTTGGATAACAATCCAGGAGCAGAATGAGAAACTGGACAGACAGAATCAATTTTTTTTTTTTTTTTAAAGATGACCGGTAAGGGGATCTTAACCCTTGACTTGGTGTTGTCAGCACCACGCTCAGCCAGTGAGCGAACCGGCCATCCCTATATGGGATCCGAACCCGGGGCCTTGGTGTTATCAGCACCGCACTCTCCCGAGTGAGCCACGGGCCAGCCCCAGACAGAATCAATTTTAAAAAACCAAATAGAAATTCTAGAAATAAAGAATATATTATCTCAAGTAAAAAATTCAATAGAAAGTTCCAACAGCATGGTCAAACAGAGGAAAGAATCAGTGAGTTAGAAGACAAAACATACAAAATTACTCAATCAGAGGAGCAAAAAGAAAAAAAGAATAAGAAAAATTGTAATAGGAATTATGGGACACCATCAAGAAAAATAACTTACACATAAGTGAAGTACCTGAAGGAGATAAGAGAGAAAAAGACCTAGAAATATATTTAAGGAAAAAATGGCTGAAAATTTCCCAAGTATGGAGAAAGACAACAGTATCCAGGTACAGAAAGCTCAAAAGTCACCGGTCAAATTCAACCCAAAGAAACCAGCTCAAATGTCCATCATCAGATGACTGCATAAGGAAAATGTGGTATATTTACACAATGGAATACTACTCTGCTATATATAAAAAAAATACTACCATTCACAGCAACATGGATGGACTTAGAGAAAATTATATTAAGTGAAATAAGCCAGGCACAGAAAGAGAAATACTGCCTGTTGCATGTTCTCACTTATTTGTGGGAGTTAAAAATAAATAAATAAATAAAAACGAACAAACAAACGAACAAGTAAATGGGGTGGGGGGAAGAAGACACAACAATCACAACAATTCCTTGAACTTGTTAAGACAAGTGAACAGATGTGATGTTGAGGGTGGGGAGGGGGAGGAAGGGAAAGGAGGAATTGGTAAAGGGACATGAAAATCAACTACATTGTATACTGATAAGTTTAATTAATTAATTAACTTTTTAAAAATTCAACCCAAAGAAGAATTCCCTGAGGCATATCATAATTAAATTATCAAAATCCAAAGACAGGACTGTCTGGTTAGCTCCGTTAGAGCATGGTGCTGATAACACCAAAGTCAAGGGTTCAGATCCTCATACAGTCTAGCTGTCAAAACAAAAAACAAACAAACAAAAACACCAACAA